CTTGACAAATAGTAGGCTTTGTTCTTTGCACATCAGAGAGCCATAATAACAGCATGAAAAAATAACAATGGGAAGCTGTAATGATAAATCGAAGTGTCTCTATACACACACACTTTGACAGCTTGAGTGTGATGTGCCAGATTGTCTTTCACAGATGTGTGCAAAGTGAAACTTTCAAGAAAATAATCAGCCCAGATGGTAGGCATATTGACCAGACAGGGCTGAGCTTGAAATATGGCTGTTGCTGATCAGTGCAACAGTGTAGTCTATTGGAACTAAGATGCATGCCTTCTTATATATATTATATTTATATATTTTGTGTGTATGTATACACACACACACACACACACACACACACACATATATATATAAACAAGGAATAGATAAAAAACGATCACCAGAATAAAATCATAAACAAAGCTGTTTAATCTACAAAAGTATTGAGCTTTCATTGGCCACACTGCCGACATCGTCAGAGTATAAAATGCTGGATCTAGGAGTCCGTTTTTATGTGACTGGCTGCCTCTGCACCTTGACCCTCAATCGGGTCATTGGTCCTCTCGTTAGCATCGGCCGTGTTGTTCTTAAAGGGGCCGTTTCTAAAGTTGCTCTCCCCCCTCTAGTTGTTATTGTTCTCTTGATGCATATGCGAGCACCTGGAGATTGGCTGTCAGATTGCTCCTGTTCGTCTTTCCCCACCCCCTTAGTCTTAACTTGTCTCCATGTTGCAAAACTGCTTATCGTGTGTATTTCGGGTGTCATTCCCCCGTTTACCAATCCTGTTACTTTCCTTACACGTGTGTAAACCTCTGGGGGTTGGCTGTCCCTTTGTTCTTGTCTCTTACTCCCCCCTTGTCCCACTGTCAGGTGCGCCCATGGGTTGCTTGTCAAGTGCGCATGGGTTGCTTGTCAAGTGCGTCTTTGGAATCACTCCTCCTCCTCCTTCTCCTCTGCTTGTCAACCTTGTTATCTCCTCGGTGTCACGCCCCACCAGGCGTGCCATCCGCTGGCGGGGTGTGGGAGCCCGCCCGGGGAGGCCAGCCGCCGCCGCCGACCGCCCCACCGAAACNCGGCCCAGCACATACCCGGAAGCCCAGCGGCCCGCACGCCTCGCCGCCGGGGATCCAGCGGCGACGCCTCCCCCCTCCTGCCTGCTCTCCGCCGTCATGCCAGGGCCAAAGCAACCCGAACCGCCGAAGACAGCCGGCGGAGGGGTGCTGGAGGTGCCGTACGATGGGGCGGAGCCGGGTGACGCTGCGCAAGGCCGGGCCGTCACCAACAGCGCCGGAGGGGCCAAGGACGCCGTAACCGGGCTGGGCCAGGCCAGGAAGGCTGCGGTGGGGGAGGGGTCGCGCCAGCCAGCTGTTACCCACCGCGGTGGAGCGGCAATGCCGGAGCATCCGTGGGGACCGGCCCGGGACTTTGGTGGCCAGGGAGCGGCTGGGAAGGAAGACCAGGTGAGGCAGTGGGGCATGACGAACTCTGGGGAGGGGCGGGGTTGGACTGAAGGAACTTTAATCAGGGCAGGGCGGAGGGCGGGAGGCTGGGGCGTGGCACCTCTATTTACAGCACTGGGAGCAAGCCACTCCCAGTGCTGACCTTGTTTCAGACCGAAAAAACTTCAACGGACGGTGTGACAGTAAGTCAGCCTGATTAGCCCGGTACCCTCAAGTACGTACCCGGTGGGAAGAACTTCCTTGCGGACGCTTTGTCACGTATGCCCCAATACCACAGCAAACGTGACGAAGTGGTGCAAGCAATCGTGCCGCCATACACCCAAACCCCCGAACGAGCAGGCCCCTGTACAGTGGCGGAGGGGGTGCTCCCGGACCTACAAGCAGCTGTACGGAACGATGTTTGGTTGCGGGACCACCCGGGTCTCTTGACACTGGGGGGGGTGGCCTGGAGGGGAGACAAGCTGTATGTCCCCGAGGCCCTACGACATACTGTCCTCCAACGGTGCCATGACGCCAAGCAGGCCGGACACTTTGGATTCCTTAAGACCTTACATCTGGTGCGGAGGCAGTTCTGGTGGCCCCGGATGAAACCGGACGTGGAAACATATGTAAAGGCCTGCCACATATGTGCCACTGCTAAGCCACGGGTGGGGAAGCCAATGGGCCTGCTGCAAAAGGTGGCCGACCCAACACAGCCGTGGGAGGTACTGGCTATGGACTTCATCGTTGACCTCCCAGATAATCGTGGCCACACCGTCATCTGGACTGTCATCGACCTATTTTCGAAGCAGGCCCACTTCATTCCGTGCCGGGGCCTGCCGTCGGCCCAACGCCTCGCCCGACTGTTCATCCAACACGTGTACCGGTTGCACGGGGTGCCACAGCGTATAATTTCGGATCGGGGGGTGCAGTTCACGGCGCGCTTTTGGCGGAACTTCCTTCAGCTCCTTGGAACCTCCCAGGGCCTCAGCTCGGCGTACCACCCCAGCACCAACGGAGCAGCAGAGAGAGCGAACGCCATGATGGAACGCTACCTCCGTAGCTACGTATCATTCCGGCAGACCGATTGGGTGGACCTCCTGGCGTTTGCGGAAGCCGCCTACAACAACACCGTGCACAGCAGCACTGGGTTCACTCCCTTTCGGGTGGTACATGGGGTGGAGTTTGTCCCCATCCCCGAGTGGGCCCAAGGGGCGGTCACTCCACACACCCCACAAGCATGGGCAACACGGGTAGCAGGCCTCTGGGGAAGGGTTAAAGAGGCGTTGCTCAAGGCTGAGGCGGCCGCAAAGGCACAGGCCGATAAAAAACGGGCAGAGCATCAGGCCTTCAAGGTGGGGGACTGGGTTTACCTAGCCACCAAATATCTTAACCTCCGGGTGCCCTGTAAGAAACTGGGTCCTAAATACGTTGGACCGTTCCAAATAGTCCAGGTACTCAACCCGGTGACTGTCCACCTGAGATTGCCCCCTTTCCTGGGCAAAGTGCATCCCGTGTTTCACGGGAGTCTCTTAAAACTGGCAGCCGGGCCCCCACAACCAGCACCGGGACCAGTCACCGGGTCGCAGTACGAGGTGCAGGAGGTCCTGGATTCCAGGGTCCGCCGGGGAAGGGTGCAATACCTACTCCGGTGGAAAGGGTACCCCCTCACCGAGGCGTCCTGGGTGGGGGAGCAGGACGTTCACGCCCCTCGGTTAGTCCGGACCTTTCATCATGAACACCCGGACAAGCCAGGGGCATTGACAGGTGGCGCTAAGTGTGTATCTGTTTCTCTTCCAGGAGGAGCCGTGGTAGAGGGGGCCGCATGTCACGCCCCACCAGGCGTGCCATCCGCTGGCGGGGTGTGGGAGCCCGCCCGGGGAGGCCAGCCGCCGCCGCCGACTGCCCCACCGAAACGCCAGCCACCGCCGCCGACCGCCCCACACACACACACATACATTTTCTATAGATTTTATAAATACACACACATATACACAATCTAGTGTTATTTGAAGTGGTGCAGATTGCTGAAGAGCTGAATGCTCTTCCTTTCACCCAAATTGTATAACTGATATTCATGAACATCACAGATTGCCAAAGAAGCTTTTCAACATGATATAAAGGAATTCTTGTGTCTCTGTTTGGGCTCTCTTAAAAATAAAATCATGTTTATCTTTGAGATGTTTCTGTAGAAATGAAGGCCGCACCAGAAAAAAAAAACTTTACAGCATTTATAAACTGAACCAATCTGACCAAATCTACTGTGTTTTCTGCTGCATCTGTAAAAGCACAGCATTAAAACATTTTGTGAAAGAGACTCCAGTTGTATTTCCACCTTTCACTTCCACCTCTATCAATTCATTATTCTGTTTTGTGAGTATACAACTAAAATTAACCAATTGAGGAAAATGACCTCATTGTCAAGGAGATTTAAACTAGAAAGTTTTTCCCCCTCTGTGGTATTTTTTGCCAAATATGAAGGAAGTATTGGAATTGCCTGTGCAGCACTCCCATCTGCAACTCAAGCAGACAGCTGAGTTCCTAGAGGGCTGCTGTCAGGTGAGCTGAAATGAACAGAGGGAAACAAAATGCTCTCTTGAATATGGAAAAGTATTGTGAAATGTGAACAAACATGCAGAGAATGCCATAAAGAGTTACTAGCTGGTAGTTCCCAAACAGGCAGAGAATGTGTTTGACAGCTCAGTGACCCCAATTCCCAGATAATCTGTAGGGAAAAATGGATCCTCAATGCTGTCATGTATCAGTAATACATGCATCAATTTATTTGTTGCTTCTTGCAAGATAGGGTGTTATTTGCCAGAAATGGAGGTTAGTTGCATTTTCCACTAGCATCAGGTTTAAGCTTTAAATCCACTTTTTGAAAACCATTCATATATGAGTTATACGGAACAAATTCAGATGTAGTTAATCAGGTAATACAAAGCGGTCAATTTTAGATGTAAGTATGCAGAAACGAAGGATTTAAAACACTGCTGTTTTGTCCATGCCACGGAGTTAAGTCTCCATAGTTTCCAAACTCAGAAAAAAATCGAACCAATGATCAATTATCCTGGGAGCTTTACTGAGCTTCAACGTTAATGTCAGCCAGTTTATGGGAGACAGCTTAATTATAGGCAACTAGTAAGAAAAACTCTGTAATGGACTTATTCTACTAAAAAAAAGGGTGAGGGAATTGATAGAGTAGTATGGATTTCATCATGATATAATATCTGCACCGAAAGAGAGATTAAAAATAGAATTATAAATGATTTCCCAGAGGAAACCTTTGGGGCTTAAGAGAATTCTTTGTCTTTGGTTTACACACAAATTAAGCTTTCTCATTTTGGGTTTGGCATTGAGAATTTACCGGTGCTATCCTATGTTTCTGTAGTAGCATTGGACTCTTTCTATGAGTTGGCACCACAGTATATTTTACACATACACATTAAAAAGACTATATGATTTTACAAGGTGATGGGTGATATAGCTTAGCTTCTATGCAGCACTAATTCTCAAAGAACATAGTGTTCTCTAGTTCATTCATGTATTCTGTTCTCTTTTTAGATGAAACAACATTTGAAGCAGGAGTCAAAGTCCAAATCCACAGTCAGTCGGAGCCTCCATTTGTTCAAGAACTGGGGTTTGGTGTGGCACCTGGTTTCCAAACTTTCGTAGCCATGCAAGAACAAAGGGTAAGTTATTTTCCTCAGACAGGTTAGGTACCTGCCTGTTTTACTTCTAAGGCAGAAAGAGAAGAAAAGCATCCTTGGTCGAATGCTTTGATGACAACCTTAACAAAAGCAGACTGATCTTGAGATTGGGTCTTATCTGTTGACTTTTGGGTTAAGAATTATGATGAAAACAAAAAAAAATCATAGCTACAGAAGAAACTTGAATTGGATTTATAATACTTTAATTTATACTTGCAAGAATCCTGAAATTGCATTTTAAAAAGAATTCCCAGAATTCTATGGCCTAATTCATTCTGAATCATTCATAGAAAGAACTGTGTGGGGGATTTCCAAGAAAGAAGTTTCCGCATGTGAGGTTTAAACTACATGTTAGTCTTCCTTGTGCAGTTTATATGAATGTGAAATTACCATTGAAGAAATATCACGAAAGAAACAATATTCTGAATTACGTCTAATATATAATCTGGCATTGTTGCATAACTTATAGCTTTTTCAAATGTAAGCACACACGTAGTCTTACTTGAGATCAAGGAGAAGCCAAAGTTTTGCCAGCTCATTGATTGATTTGATTCTTTCAGCAGAGTTTGTCCTTATTTTTTATTTACTTATAAATAAATGCACAGCAACAGCATTTACATGCTGTTGTGTCCTGAGCCTGCAAGATGCAGGCTCGGGACGTTGCAAGAGTCCCGGGCAATTGCAGAAGCTGCCCGGGACCTCTGACTCGCCGCGGTCGGAACACGCGTACGCGTTCCGCCCTTTTCGGGCGGAGTACTAACCAACTTGAACGGGCCCCTAGTCTCCCATATTTATCTCCGGACGCACGGAGACGAGACCATGTTCGTAGAGTGGAGCAAACAATAAAGACTTGTTGGAGATGAATCGTCTCAAGCGCCATTATTCCCAGGACTTAACACATGCCTTTGTCCATGTAGTCATAGTTCTAAATTACATATAAAAAAGTAACTGTTCTCACATAAATGTGGTTTTGCCAGGTCCAGCAATTGTTGGAACAAGGGAGTGACAGATGTCTATAATGCCTTCTCAAAACTTTTTTTTTGGGGGGGGGGGGGATTGGTACATGTTTAGTCCACACTATAGTATTATGAAAGTAATTACTGAAACTGCAGAACCTTTCTTTCCTTTGCAGTAATTATGCTGCCAAAGGCAATATGTTGAGAAAGATGAAATATTCCCTGAAACAACCATTTCTGCCAATTTGGCCATAAAAATTAAAGAAGCTTCAATTAAGCAAAAAGGTTGAAGATGTAGTGATACTTAGTAGGAAGGCTGAAGTGGGCCTTTGAGATTCATTTTGTGAAATGTTCAGGCAATATGGAAAGAGAGAAAGACCATCAAAATATGAGAAAAATATCTGAGGTTGATTTTATGAAAAGAGGATGGGGATTCCCATTATACATTCTGTGACTTGGGAACCATATGTGGTATATGGGTTATAATAACGGAAAATAGACTGTTGGTGAATTGAGAGGCAACAGCTGACACAGGGCACAGTATTAGGCAGACGTCAGCTGGCATGAGAGACAGAGGCAATAATAGAAGGATTGCTGTGGAATGGATGTGGGAAGGCTCTCAGATGTCTGTCCCAAAACTTTACTCTCTAGAGGGTAAACTTTACTCATTGAGGGCTGCATCAGCATTGCGGTTGCCCTCGGGGGGTGTGTGGCCAGGGTGGGCATGGCCTGGGTGGGTGTGCATGGAGTGGGTGTGGCCTACTGGGTAGGCATGGCCAGCTCTACATCATTCACGTCAAGGGTGCCTGTGGGGGCCTGGGCAGGAGTGGGACAGATCTGAGGATCTCTGGCAGAAGGGGGTTGGATCAGGGCAAGCGCCAAGGCATGGTCCATTTCTTCATTCCCCACAAAGGGTGACACCTCCCCAGCATGCACCCAGGGGGCGGGACCGACACGGCAGGGGCTGATTCCTTGCTGTTTCTAGACGGCCTTTTGGAGCTAAGACTGAATGCGTTTCAGCATAGATGGCCACCACAAAATTGTACATTGGCTCCCGGCCGGCCTGGGCCAGGGCCAAGGCAGTGAGGGCCGTTCCCTCACTGTTTCCAGGATGGCTTCATGGGCCACATGAAACCACTTCGCGGGCCACATCCGGCCCCCGGGCCTTGTGTTTGACATGTCTGCTCTAGAGAGTAAAGCAGTAGAGAGTTTTCATCTAAAGGAGGAGGAAGCAGCCTGGTGTCCTTCCAACCTTTTGGTCATCAATTCCCAGCACTCCCAAGTCAGCCTGGCCAACAGGAAAAGATTGTGAGAATGGCAAGCCTAGATATGTGAAGGGAAGCTGGTTATCTTTTCTGGTCTATGCCAACCAATATTCCCAGTCTGTTGCTGCTTTCTATAAGCATTGCACTACAGTTCACATTATCCCAGCAGAAATAACAATTTGCTGTGGAATATATGACTGAAGTAATTTTTTGATCATCATGTGAGAAGTCAGCAATATAAGGTAGAGGGAATGAGACATAACTTTTGGGACCAGGATTGCCATCACTAAGCAATGCAATCAAAAAGTGACATTGTCCCAGCACTTTCTCTCTTACCCAACAGAGTTGATTCCTTCACAATCTTTACAGAAAAAACTCTCATTATTTATTGTATTGAAGTAATTCATGTACAGCCTTTTATAAATGATGTTCTCAGTCCTGTGGGATAGCTAAACATTACATAGAAATACATATCTGGTAAAATTCAGATCTCTTGGTTATGCACTGAATCCATCCTTTTTCTTGATTTTTTGGGGAGTCATTTCCAACCTATTATTTTCCAAATAATTATCTGCAAGTTCCTCCCCATAACGTTGAAGGAGTATATGACCCTTGACTTTTGCTGAATATTGAACTAAAAACAAGATATAATTGTTCTTTAATGAAACATCACATCAGATTACACAAGTAGAATTGCTTCTCCATTTCAGCCTGCCCACGATTTCCTTTTGTCCATCTGCTCTCATTGTCTGTTGAGTTTAGCACTTGCATCTGAGTTCTCTCCCTCGTTTTCTTTTTTTTTTTGCAAAAACCATCAAATAGCAACTGATACATTTCTTAACTTATTCCCTTCATTTTTTCTTTAAGATTATTTAATGTTGCTTGTTAACCAAATTGATTTTGTTGGACAGATGGAAATGACCAGTTTATGTTGATGGTAGAATCAAAGTTCTTCCATTTGGAAACCATGCATTTGAATACTTTCTCTTGTCTCAGAGTATCTCTGCATAGATACATAATATATAAAGATAATGTCCAGATTAATTCTTAATATGATTTTTTCCACATGGCAAAGAAAATTTTACTTTTTAATTATTATAATTATTCAGTTGGATAGCTTGGGAATTCTGAAAGTTGAAATCCACACCTTAAATTTACCAAGTTTGAAAAACACTGATACAAATTAATTCTGATAAATGTGGGATTACAGAGATTCCTATCTATTTTCCTTTGGCCAGAGTCTAGCAGATTTTTGGATTACAAATCCCATTATCAAATTGGAATCCCCAAAATTCTGTCTTTCTCTTTCCAATTAAGGGATAGAAACTTTAAGTTTCTTTTACTTGATTGCTGCAAAATTATTGAAGTAAAAATGTATTGTGGGTAACCACTGTAATCCTTTTGATTTTGGGGGGGGAGAGATGGAAGTAGTTTAAAAGGGGGGAGAGACCACAATTATATTACCCGATGTCATCTGTGCTCATCATATCAAAACAGTTCGGGGTTCTAAGATACCAAGCAAATTGGTGTATCTTGCTGTTGATATATCAGCAAATAAGCCTCACTTGGCACCAGTGACAATGTATAACTTCTTAAAGAAAAAGAAGATTGAAGAAACAGAACTGTCTGGCCCTGACCCCTTTTACTTGGGCCAAGCAAGTGGCCATCAAGGAAATTAAGCTCTAATCTTTCTCAACTGTGCTTGTTTAAGAGTGGGTAATGAGATACACTTCAAACATAACCTGATTGTATGAAAGATATTCAGTCCATTGATCAGTGTACAATAGTGAAAACAAAAGCATAATTTGTGGACTGAGCATGGCTAACCAGCAGCAAGGAAACAAAAATAATCTGCCTTGGAGACTACAGGAGTTGAACTATGAACTTTCAATAAATCTATACAGTTCTGAAGAAAGAAAAACATATACTTAAATTGGTCAGATCCAAATAAATAATATCATTCTTCTTCTATCCTATTTTCTCTTCCAGAGGTTTAGATAGCAAAGAAAAGTCTCTCTGGATCAGTCTGAACCAGTGTTTCTCAACTTGACAAGATGTGAGAATTTCAAAGGGGTTCAGGAAGTTGAATTCCACATAGCTTTAAGTTGTCAGTGTTGAGAAACACTGGCCTAAACACTAGGAACCCCACTTTTCTCTCTCACTAGTTAAATATTTTATGTGCATTACATTTCAGGTTCTGGTTGCTGTTTCACTGCAGGTCCCAAATGTGGCCCTGACGAGCATTCTTTCAGAGCAAAGCAAGCCTTTCTTCTTGCCATTTCTGCAAATCAAAGGCACAACCAGGAAGGCCCAATTAAGTATTCAAGCTATGCCTTCCTGCAGACATTAGGCCAGCTCAAGGGCCATGTGACCAGCTCAGAGCTGGCTTCCTGAGAAACATTGAAATTAAATATGTATTTATTCCATCATTGCCGAGCTCATCATCTATATTGCAGCACACTTTAAACAACTTCAAAGATTTGCACAGCAGCCAGTCTGGAACAGACGCCAGGTCATCAGGGTTGACGAATATTTATTCACCAGTATCATAGTATCTGCAACATATGGGTGTTGCTCTCCTCTCCAGATGACTGAATGGTGGCAGATGCTGTGCTATTATCTCGATAGAAGAATGTAAATGAGACAGGGAGGCCCTTCAATGGCATTTTGTCCCTGTCATAAAGAAACTGATAATTCTGTCCTCTAGAAGAACTTCTCTGATGGTATATCATGCTCCCCACAGTATAGTTTTTGCAACCAG